ACGCCATGCGGGATTAAATGCAGTCCAAGCAGATCATGTTCCAGTCCCTCAGCGTTCGGGGCCACACAGGGTGGGGCACAAGTACGCGGTTCATCTATATGATCCTGGTCAGCCATTTGCAAATCTCCCGTGTGGTCTATGCCTTTCGGGGTTAAATGCAGTCCGAGCTGATCATGTCCCAGGCCCTCATATATATATATATATGAGGGTTCAGCCTCCTGATGAGTCGGTGAAACTCCGACGAAATAGTTTGTCACAGCCTCTCGTTTGTTGTCCTCTTCTCTCTCTCTGCCTACGGTTTACCGGGCAGTTCTGTTTGTGACGATATATATATATTTCGTCACAGGTTAAGTTTTCATTATTTAGTTTTAAGCCTCTGGAAGCATAGTGAAATTGAGAGTCTCAAGACTCTCAACCCTGATACGCATCGTAATCGAGCCATAAGATGTCATCTATGATGATACTGACTGAGAACTCAACCTTTATTTATTTATTTATTCAAAAAAAGAGTGCTCTTTTTATTGGGTGTGTATTGGTGTGCGTCCCAACCGGCCGCAGAGGACCTGAGCAGCCGCTTCCAGTTGCCCCAAGGCTCCCGCATTGCTACGGATTACAGGGCGGCACAACTCACCCCAGCGAGTTACCAGTGTTGACTGGCCGTGGCCACTGATCCTCCTCAAGCTCAAGCCACTGAAAGTGACGGCAACGGGAATAGAACCCAGCACCTACGAGGTGCCGCTAAGGGATGAAACCTGCTGAGCTAGCCGCGACGGGACAAGCAAAAGCATTATCAAGCTCAGCTGTCAACAATACCTGCAGGGGGCACCATGCATCCCCTTCATGCATGGTGCAAGGCAGCTATATGCTTGCAGGTGTCCCCTGCAAGCCTCAGTCGTAGTGGTAGGTAGGTATAGTGAAAGGGGAATTTGATAGAAGTTTATAGCTTAGTTTTAACTTCAACTTTTAGTGAAAGGGGAACTTGGTAGTTGGGTATAGTAAACAAAGGGGGGGGGGGGGGGGGGGGGAGGGGAGGGAGGAAATAAATCAATACCTGCAAGCGTTTTTGGCTGGATCCGTGACAGAGAAGAACACCCACAAACTGTTGAAAAAATTGAAATATACACCTGAGTTCAAATCCGGGTGAAAAAAAGTACTCGAAAGCATTTCTGAATTATCTGGGGCCGATCAGCTCCACAATCATATCTCAAAGCCGTCACCCTTTCTTTTTTTTTTTAAAAAAGAAAAGAAAAGAAAAAAAACAAAAAGGAAAACGAAAGGAATACCTGCAAGTGTTTTGGCTGGATCCATGACAGAGCAGAGCACCCAAGTGCAGACTACAACATCCACCGAGTTGTCCTCCATTGGGATATCCTCGCCGGCCTGGAGCAGTTCATAGGTCATTCACCAACAGAAGAATGCCCCTGGTCAAAGTCAAATCAGTGATGCGTAAAAAAAAAAAAAAAAAAAAGAAAACCCTTCAGGCTGTGGCTCCCAAGGTTAGCTTGGGATATTCTTAGGCCCCTCAAGCCTTTAGCTTGGAGATGAACTTCCATCGGCAAGGGACTTTGGTGATGAAGTTCCGGTTCCGCCGGGTTGCCTCTCCACATGTAGGCCGCAGCCCTCCTCTGAGATGACAACGAGTACACGGCCCCAGCCTTGCAGTCCGAAACTTGTCGCCACAAGAAAACTAACAAGGTCGAAACATCAAACACTGGGCGAGCCGTTGATAAATTCGATCGGCAGTGGCGTTTGCGTTTCACGCCTCCAGAATATGAGGTGTCAGGCCCACGGCCCAGGTGCCCATGTACTGGTTCGTTTTAAGGGTCTTCCTCGTATGATCTTCGAGGGTCAATATCGTGGCCGTGGACCACAGCTGTGGCAAAAAATGGAGGCATCAAGGATCAAACGCTGTACCGAGCGAAGACCGATACGTAGATTCTGGTCCAGGCATCTAGTTTGGAGATCATCTTCGGCAGTATTTCCGGGGCCACCGCTTGGTTCGGGCAGCGCAGTCTGGTAGCGCATCTGTTTTGGGTACAGAGGGTCAAGTTATGTCTCACCTTGATTCCTTCCTTCTTTTGTATTTCCTCCTCCTCATCTCAAACCACCAGTACTTCCTTCTCCTTATTTTAAACCATCAGTGCTTCCTAAAGTCATGCCCGTATACAAGGCACGGTTTTAGGAAACGTACGGGCCACTACAGGAGCGCCCTAATTCATCCAATTGGAGATGTTTCTACTCTATTTTTTTTCCGCAGCTGATAGCTGGGCCACGTACTGGTGGTTTAAAGGGGGATGGCCTTGGGATATCATCATTGAACTGACCAGCCCCAGGTAATTCAGAGTTATTTTGTTCTGTTTGTCCAATTGCATCTGGAGTCGAAGTTGGGTATGTAGTATGCATGTCAATGGTGCATGGAGGTACCAACTAAGCTAATTAGCCAATTGGTACATTATATCTGATGAACGGGAACGATATAACAGTCACGTGAGCCAGTTGGTACACTCCCCCTGGACTGAATTGTTGAAATACAGACCCAAGTTCAAACTCCAGTGGAGGCAGATAAGTACAATACTACAATTCCAGAATCCAGATGACTTAGGGCAGTTGAATTTGGATGATGACGAGGATGCTATCTCAAGGCCATTGCCCTTTTTTTTTCTGCAAAGAGAGAGAGAGAGAGTGAACAGTAACTGAATGGATGTGTCCAATGGTCTTGAAAAACATAATTTTTTTTTTTTTTTTTTTTTCTGGAAACATAGCAAAGACCTCCCTCCCCTATTCACCAATTGTGCAAAAAAAGAATGAATCTTCTGCTAGAACATGGAAAGATACACCAGCATAATTTGTGTCCTTTGTGTGCATGTGGCGAGTAGTAGTGGAGCGAGGCCCTACACGTCAAACCCCTTTCAGTGCTTTGCAGACGCTCGCAACAAGTTTTTTGAGTAATGATGTTTGCTAAAAATAGCATGTGGGGCATTGACTGCTCATTTGTCTGCAATGACTCTGCATCCTCCATCTAATATTCTCGAACGGCGGTGGCTGAATCTGTGCGCTGCACGGGTCCATATGCATTTGCGTCCGAGGAGGCCCAGAGGGGGCCTAAGACCCCCTGGGTTACTGGTGGGAACACCTATTTGATGGCTGACATTTGTTGGGCTGTTGCCACTGACTCGTCGGGAGTGTGCATTTATTTACAATAAATTTGAATAATTAAATAACCTTTGTTACCTTTGTGGGTTGATTTTTTTTTTGTTAAATGATGCTCAGGCGGACGTGCCCTCTCCCTTGGCAGTGTTCGCATGGAAGTTGATGACGGGAGTCATGTGACCTTCTCCAGTTCGGTCCTCAAGAGTTCTCGTTTGAACATCTTTCTGGGTTGTTTCAATCAACTGTCGAAGCTTTTCCACTGCATGAAGATTGCCAGAGTTATAACGACTGTCGGATGCTTGTGCTTGTTGTTCGGCATCTTGAATGAGCCATTTTTTTGAGGGAGTAATAAGTCATCAATTCCTAGTGAAATTCCTGTTTTAGTTCCATATTCAAATCCTAGTTCTTTCAGTCTATCTAGTATATGGGATGTATAAGCTTCTTTATTTTTTATTTATTTTTAATTTTTTAATTTATTTATTTTTGATTCTGGGTTGATTTTGGTGTGCCCGGGAACACAAAATTTTTCATAACAAATAACCTTGTCGGGTTGACTTTCTGTGCGCCAGCACACAAATGTCATGCCCCAACACATGCTCATCCACCCAGCTGGGAATGACCCTGAGGTGGCGTCCTGGGCAGCCCTAGCACAATCTCTTCTTTTTTTTTTAAGCAAAAAAATTATGGAGAAAACAAATGTTGGGTAGAATTGCAATCCCAACAAGAGTCGCCTTAGAATGTTCTTTAGTGGATCCAATACAAAAAAAATCAAACAAAGGCAACCCCCTTTAAACACCTTTAAGCCCCATTTACACCCCCCATTCAATCCTTTAAGCCCCTTAACGCCCCATTTATACCCCCCTTTCAACCCCTTTAAGCCCCTTTAAGCCGCATTTATACCCCCTTTTCCCCCCTTTCCAGCCGATGGAGAACACTGGAAAACAAGAGGGACCCACATTTGAGCTGCTTTTGGTGGGTGCAGAGAAACCCCGCCAACAGGACGAAAACAAAGAAACAAAGAAAACAGAGTTTGTACATGCCCGGGGTACTGCAGGCAGCTGGAGAGGCAGGCGACCAGCACAGGTGCCCAGCCTCGTGCCCCTGGTAACTTAGTAAGAGGACACAAAGGTGGAAGGGGTGGAAATAGGGCCAGTGGATGTAAATAGGCAAGGTAGAGGGTGATTTAGTAAATTACAGAATTATGTTGAATGAAGGGGGGGCATGTAGTGAGGATAGGGAGCAATAGAACGCGAATAAGGATTGACAAATGATGACAAAAACAAAACGAACAAAAAAAAGAACGTATAAACTTTAAAGATTGGTATGGCAGGTGCAAGTGCATGATCCTGTTTCGGCTGTGGATTGCCTACATGCCAAAGGCCCATAAAAGGGATGGTCGGTTAGGGTTTAGCATGGCCTCTGTGCAAGTCCAGGTCCAAGTCCAAGTCCAAGTCCAGAGGTGACCACATTGTTTGCTCCCCTCCAAATAATAGGCCCTCTGACAAGTCTGATCAGAAAGAATGGCAGGCTTCGAAGGAAGAGGGGATAACATTGTTTGCCTCCCTGCCTCCCTCCAAAGAAAAGTGCAGTGCGTTTCACTCCTTCGAAGGAAGAGGGGATTATCATGGCCCCTCTGCAAGGACGAAACACCTCAATTGAGAAACAGTTCAAATAAACAGAAAGAAAAAAGAAAAAGGAAGAGGAAGAGCAAGATAGAGGTCATACATAGTACAATCCAAACAGCAAGAGAAAGGTCGAACATACTGCGATCCACTCCATAGAAAAAAACACACTATGTGCCACCCCTTTGGAGAGCAGAGGGAAGAGGGAAGAGGAAAGAGGAAGGAGAAGACAAAGG